ATAGAGTGTGAAGGTCATGTCTTTTGATAAGGGGGAGCTGTGTGATTGGAACCTGCAGGAACCGGCTGGTGGAACCCGGCCTTCCTATAATCAACAGAGTCTGTGGATCACACTCTGGGTGTCCTAGTCCATCACTATGCAGGTCTTCCTAGACCATCTGTGAGCAGCTCTGTGCCAGCAGCCCCACGTCTGGAGGGTTATCACAAGAGAATACCCTCTGGGTGTGCGGGGGTTTAAATGTAGAAAGAGCTGTGGTCCATAGGGCTGCAGTCCCTTTTTTTCTCTGCTAAATATTAAAATATTGAAAGGGTTATTTTAGCAAACGGTGATTCATGAGCTGGGGTGCATCCAGCCTTGGTTTGGGAATCCAGAGAAGGGTCTCGATAAGATTGTATAAGCAAACCACATTCAGTAACTGATTAGTTACAGTTATGTAGTTCACTTGTTGAATTATAAAGGTGGATATTTCTTTGTTATGGAGGCAGGGATTAATTGGTGATTTGTGCCCAAGTCTAAATTGTCTTTTCTTCTAGGTGAGTAATTTTCAAGAAATGCATTTGAGTTAAAGTTAATTTTTCTTATATAGAAACCTAGGGCACTGCAGCCACTTTGATCTAATTGCCTGCTATTCACTCGGGGGGGGGTCAAAAACTGGAATTTATTAAAGAGTATATGTATTCTTACATATTTGTGCTTCAGTCACCTTCAAAGTGCTCTTCATTAGATGTAACACACCTGTTGAGCTGCATTTTCCACTGCTCAAAACCATTTTTGAAATCATTGATTTTGATACCTTTTAGTGCTTCTGCCTGTTTCACCTCTTCTGCATCAACAAAAAGTTTTATTTTGAAGACTGTTTTCCTGGGGAAATTTTTAAAAAGTCTCTTGGGGTAAGATTGAGTGAATAGGGAGGGTGGGAAACTGGGGTGGGGGATTTGGGTTATGCTGTTTTTGGTCAAAAACTGCTGAACATTTAACAGGGTGTGACAGGTACACTCATAAATTGCCCATTATGAGATGGGCAAACATGTTGAAAAAATCTCCAATGAAAAATTTCCTGAAACAAAAGCAGCCTCTTTCAAAAATGTTAGCTGGTACAGTGATGTGATGTGTTCCTAAAACACTCAACTAGTGGGAGAAGTCAGTACTATGAGGAGCTTGCCTTCCAAAACATAATTCTGTTTTGTGGGGGGGTCCCCTTCATAGTTATTTTAATGCTTTACAGGGAACCTGTTTTTCTGCTGCATTTTTAAAGTGTAAGGCACCACCTTTTCCCCCAGCCTCACACTTCCAGGGCTTGCAGTGAAATCCTAAACTGCAGTTTCTTCCACATGTTCCCAAACACCAACTTGTCCTCTCCAGTTGACAGTATTATCAACTGTATCTTTGACATGCACACAATAGTTTAACTGTTTATTGCTTTCCATCAAGTAATGGATAGCAAGTTTTTAAAGATTTGTTTGTGAACATTTCACATGAGAGAAAAGTAGAAAAGAATCCCTTGACGGGCCACTCTTAAAAAAACAAACTACTTGATGCTCCTCCTCTTACTTTTTCTTGTTACCGACCTCTACCTTATTGGAATGTCTTTCGGTTGAGGCTCTATTTTGGGAACTTTACACAGTGATGTGACCTCAGCCACCCTTCTGTATAAGGCTTAAACATCATCTAGGATGACCATGTTTCTTGAGGTGTTATAGTGAATCTCAGCCCCTAAGTCATCACCTCCCAGAGGAAAGCCTGAGGTATGGAAGTGGAGCCTTGCAGGGGAATGTTGGGATGCTGGTATTTAGGGGAAAAGACAGAAATGATCCCTGCCTCCTGGATCCTCTCAGTCTTGTGAAGGGAAAAAAACAGCCCCAATAACAAGAAAAGCCATTCCCAGCAGGGTAGCATAAGAACCCGCAAAGCAAGATGCGCTGTAGCGCACACAGGGAGCCACACACAGTGGAGTGTGTCTAGAGAAGGTGGTCACTGAGCACTTCAATGAGGAGGATTTGGGGCAGAAGAATCGACCATGTGACAAATGGCTTGACTTGACATTAGAATCAGACATGTCTAGGAGGTCAGTCCAGAAGCTGCACTGACCCTGGAATCCCCACAGGGGCTAGCACTGAGCTGTGAGTCCCTGTGAAACACAAGGTCCCACGGAAAATGGAGGGACAAGAGTAGCTCCTCTGGTTGGCAGGATCCTAGTGGGCACTGGGCATGTGGGGTGGCTGAGGTGGGACAGACAGAATTGGGTGTGTCCGGGCAGCCAGGGACTGGTGTGTCCAGAGTGATCAGCTGAGCCATTGAACCTACTCCACAGGGCAACAGACTGACAAGTGATGGTGCAACCAGCCCAGCTGGGGAATGAGATCCCTTCAGGGAGACCCCCCAAACCCATGCCCCGGCCCCAGGCCCAGACTGTTTGTCAGAATGAGCTTCCGAGTTGTCATTTTCTTCAGTGGGTTATAAAGGGCTAACCATCATAAGTGTGCTCAAATTGTCCCAGATTTGGTTACTAAGAGACCCCTCACTCTGATCCCTGTATCCTTATGACCTGTCTTTGTCATTTCTTGCATGTGTCCTTTTGGCACAAGATGTTTCCACACTCATCTTTGGAATCAGTTATTTCTCCAAGGAGTCCAGCTTCCTTTTACTGGGAAATTAAATTGAGAAACCAAGATTCAGGGCTTAGGAGTGCTTTCAGTTACTGGGGTGTTCTTGTTTCTCAACTCTTTTTGCTGGACAGAGCTAAAAAAGAGATTGTATGTATGTTTGTGTGTCAATACAAATACCCAGTAAAAAGCGATAGTGAAAAACTATTAAAATTTTCATCATTTATATCTATATCCAAAATATACTTATAGTCACCAAAACGCTTATTTGTATCTTTTTATTGAGATGATTATTTTCTTATATTAAATTACCTTCTATTCTGACATATATATCTTTTTCACTAAGGAGGAGAAGAGTGTGGCTGTTCAGAGGAATACATACACTCTGATTTATTGGTAATGGATATTCCTCTGAGGTCTACAGTTTTTATACTTTCCCATCCCACGAGTCACTTGGGGTTTGTGAACAAATAGATTCGTGAAGAGACTCTTCCAGAAACATGTGCATTGGTGAAGAGTTGTATTTATGAGGAAATTATATGAAAATATTAGTTTGTTTTCTACTGTTAGTTATCTGAAAAGAAAAGAAGCTGAACAGGATTATGTGATTGCTTTAGATATAGATCATCTACTGACCAGAATTTAGCTTTTTTCACTTAGAAATGAAGGTACAGGCACAAAGTCCTTTCTAGTTGCTTATTATGAATCTTTTCTCTTTTCTTTCTTTTTTAGAAGTAGGGTCATGCTCTGTCTCCTAGGCTGGAATTTAGTGGCACTATAGCTCACTGTAGCCTCAAACACCTGGGCTCAAGCAATCCTTTTTCCTCAGCCCCAATGTACCTGGGATTACAGGTGCACACTTAATTTTAAAAAATATTGTTTTTTGTAGACACAAGAGTCTTGTTCTGTTTCTCAGGCTGGTCTTGGATTCCTGGCCTCAAGCAATTCTCCCATCCTGGCCTTCTAAAACACTGGGGTTAAAGATATGAGACACTATGCCCAGCCCTTATGAGTCTTTTCTGCTTCAGTGTGGCACAGGATAAAGAAAATATTTTAATGAATTTCTCATTCATTTATGATTATAAATGAACTCCCAGTGCTGACTACTGGGTGATTGAGCTACCCTAGTAAGTTGGCTTTCCAACAGTGTTTCTCAATCTTGTGGAAAGTATGTGACCTTAAAAAATATGTATAGTCTTGTGGTTTCCTGATGGTGATAATGTTGAATGTTAACATTATGAATATAGTGCTAACTGCTAAGGTACAGGTCTTTGGGTTCACATGCCAAACCTACTAGGCACTTCATGACTCAGTTCTTCCATCAATATCTTTCTCTTTGTACTACTGTGAATCTCTCACAAGTGAGCTGAGCTATCACGTGGCCTTCACTTGACACGAGTACTTCATTTATCCGTAAGCCCACCTCTGTTCTTCTCTCATTTTGTCTATAGTGATTTAATTGAAACTAGCTTATTGGTATAAGATAGTCATTAACAAGATCCAGAATATGCTGTGATTTATGAAAATATATTCAGAAACTTACAGAAATAAAAGTTTGTATCTTGAATATGTATTTCCTAATAAATGAGAAAAGATTAATGTATAAATTAATCAAAGTTTAGAAATAACAAAAACACATTACTGAAAATGCAGGAAATTTTTATAAAGAACATACAAATCCCATAATTACACAACCCCAACACAGACACTGTTAGAAGACTAGAATTTTTAGACTTCTATTTTTTGTGCATATATGCACTTTTTAAGAAATCTAGATTTAAGAGGTACAAGTGCAGGTTTGCTACACAAGTATATTGTGTGATGATGAGGTTTGGGCTTCTGTTAAGCCCATCACCCAAATGGTGCACCTGATACCCAGCTGGTCATTTTCCCACTGCTTTTCTTCTTCCCCTCCCTCCCCTCCTTTCTCCCTTTAGGAACCCCAGTGGCTGTTGTTCCCATCTTTATATCTTGTCCTATAGGCACTTTTAGATTTTGCGTTGCTAACATGCACATAGTTTTATGTACCTGTTGCTCTTTTCAGACTGTGTATGAGACAAATCTCCATTTGTCCTGCCTTAGGAGCAAACTAAAAGGCACAAAATGTCCTTCAGGAACTCTGTATGACTAGGGTGCAATAAGTCTTATAAATTACATTTAGAGTTCACTTGTTTAGGACACCATAGTTGTACCTCATCAATCTACATTTCTTTAGTTCTCAAATGTCATAAAAAGCGCATAAATTTATTTTAGAACCACTAAATTCTGGAAGGTGTCTACACTTAAATTTTTTTCTTTGAAATCAGTTAATGAAGTACAATTGCCTATAAATTTCTTCATACATTTTAAAGGTTTCAGATTCTTGTCTTTGTATTTGTAGCAAAAAAGGACTTCACTGAAGCAGGAAACTACCCAAAGGGATATGCTATCACTGGAATTTATTCTAATGAAGATGTTTTGATACTGTAAGTTTATTGCTCTTTTCATTTTGGGGAGGAAGATGGTATGCAACATAAGGTGTTACTTGCCGTTACACCTGATGACAAAAGAGAGCAGGAACATTCCTTAATTTTTAATTTTCTTCCAGAAGGTTTGGGAAATACAAGGTATGTAGATTCTTTAAATTTTTTTTTTACTGTAGATCAGAGTCACAATGGGGACAGTCTTGGATTCATAAGGTAAGAGAACTCAGAGGAAAATTTTTATATTTTCCTGAGTTCTCTTACCTGTGATTTTGGTTCTTTAGAGTTGTCATAGTCTTTGAAGAATTTTAAGTTGTTGGGCATTTGGTTTTTTGCCACCAAGGTGTATGTTTTTAAAATCAGTGGGCACTGGGCATGTGGGGCAGCTCAGGTGGGACAGACAGAATCGGGTGTGTCTGAGGAGCCGGGGCCTGAGGTGTCCAGAATGAGCAGCTGAGCCACTGAACCTACTCTACGTGGAAACAGGCTGACAAGTGATGGAGCCATCAGTTCAGTGGGGGGAGAACCCTGAACCCATGACCTGGCCCCAGTTTGCCTCCGCCAGGCTTTGTCTGGTTCTGGCAAAGGGAAGTGGTCAGGTGGTCTGTCCCTTATCCCAGGACATGGTGTCCCCTCAGGCAATGAGCAGCAACTGGGGCAGGGTTGGACCCAGGGTCGGCCCGTGTGCATCTGATGTGCCCACACCCCAGCTTCTCAGCCTCCCAAGGTGGCAGCCAGGGTTCCTTGCCTGATTTTTGCCTCCAGCTCTGACCTGCTCTCCTGGGACTGAGATGACTTCCTCCCCCACCAATGACATGGGGGTGTTGGGCACCTGCAGGCAGGAGCCCACCACCAGTCACCTGGGCCTCGTCACCCAACTGGCCCTGTGAGACTCAACTGGCCAGACCCTGTCCTATTTGCATTTTTGTTTTCTCCTTAGTGTCTTTTCTGTAATGACTGCTGTGTGAAGTTTTCTTAGAATGTTCCTAGAAAACATTCCACAACCCAGAGAGCACCCACCCCGGCCCTTCTTACACTGGTCGTGCCTCTGGAGTGCCTGTGGAGTGTGATCCAGCCACCTGGCTGCCTGACCCTGCATCTCCTGTCTTCTTTTTGCTGAAGCCCACGCTGTTCCCTTGCTGTCAATCTGAACTGTTCTCGAAGCCAGGATGAGGGATGGGACAAGGTGGCTGAGAAGGACCGTTCCCTCCTGGGGCAAATCTGTGCCATGAGGAGGCTGGGTTTGCTCCAATCACCAGCCCTCATCTGAGTTCCACTTTAGCCAGAGGTGGATGGAATGCAGCCCGCTTCTGCCTGCTCTTGCGTGACCTGAGAGAAAAGAATAAATGGCCAAACAATGCCAAACAACAACATTTTATAGTACTTTGAAATGGGAATTTTCCATGTGCTCAAGTGAAGTCCTATGGGAGCACAGCCATGCCTCTTCACGCACAGGGTGTCCGTGGAAGGTTGCCGTTAGGAGACCAGGGCAGGCTTGAGTGGGTGGACAGAGCCCCGCTGGCAAGAGCTGAATATGCTCCCTCCTGGCCCTTTCGGGGAACCGTTTCCCACTTCGGGCTGAAGGGTTTTCTGGCAGGACCTGGGGAGCTGGGTGAGCTCCTTCTGTCAGGGCAGGTTCGTCTTCTGCAGCGGTGCCTGTGACGTGGGGGTGCCAGGGCGCCTCCTGCAGTGGGGGTGATCCCGGGCGTGCTGAGTGACAGGTGCCTGCCTCACGAACAGTCGTCTCACCCACAGAGGTTTCAGGGCTTGATCCCGGCGGGACGGGAGGAGCCGTTGGTCCCCGGAAGCGAAGACCCTGGGACCTGAGCGGTAACGCCTTCGAAGGGGGGTCCCCTGGGGTTCACGCTCTGGGACAAGGATGATGCAGGGCTGGCATCCTTGTCCACATCCTGCAGCAGGTGCTATCCAGCCCTGGTGAGGATGTTGGAGCTGAAGGCTGTCATCAGCGTGTTCCCCAGCTCTTGCCGTGTCCCTGCAATGTGCCCCTGATAGCCGAGCACCTGCTGGGCCTCACTAGACGGTGAGGATTGGACCAGGGGCACTAAGTTCCCGGAGTGGCTGTGTGGCCCAGGAGCAGCCAGGGGATCTCAGGCAGTACGGCTGCGGCACATGGAGATGGCTCTGGATGTCTAGCCCTGGGCTCTGCGTGGCAGCCCGGGTTTGGGAGGGGGACGCCCATGCTGCGGAGGGAGAGACCAGGGCACAGGACACTTGGGGTTTGGGGAGTGGTGAGGAGGCTAG